TTGCCAATAAGAAAAATAAAAAATTAACAGCCGTAACTCATAAAAAAATAATTACATGACCGGAGCTAGTAGAAGACAAATTTAGCCTTATCACCATGCCCCAAATTCATTAGTTAAACAAATTATTTGTAAAATTATAAAAACTTCAACTTTTGTAACATTTGCTTATTTCTTTTCATTGTTCTTGCTTCAAGAGACCAAAACCATCTTTTTTATTAAGATAGCCTAAGATGTTCTCTTTCATTTGAAAAAAAATTGAATCCATGAGACTTGGGCAACTCCAGGAGATAGTAAAAGCGCAACTCATGGTAATAGGACAAAAAAATTGACTGGCCATTTTAAAATCAAAAAATAAACATCAAAAATTTTAAATTTCACAATTATCTCCACATTTTTGAATTCAGTAATCTCAAAAATGGCTGGGTATCAATTTTTAGTCATACCCTTTTACTACTATTAACTAAAATTATTTATTAAAAAGCACAACAACAAAAACCATAATGGTGGACTTGGTTAAAAAAAGGATGTTTTAGGCTAAATTTCAAAATGTCATAACTTTTGAACCGTTTGGATTTGGGTGCTCAAACTTTACATTTTTTCATATTTCATTAATAGGTACCAGTGGTAAAAATTTAAAGAAAATCTGAGGGGTGACAGAAATGACTGTCCCACTTTTACATGGAATTACCCATATATATATATATATTTATATATATATATATATATATATATATATATATATATATATATATATATATATATATATATATATATATATATATATATATATATATATATACACAGTAGGGGCCAAAAAATACTGACCAAGAAATTTTATGTGGTTTTTTGGCAAAATTTCTACGTAAAATATACAGCAAGCAAATGTAATGAGTGATTTTATTTTAAGTATCAATATATAAATATTATGCTTTTAACACATATATTTTAAATGTATATATATTTGAAAAGATAAAAAAAAACCACCGAAATGTTTTTTTAAGAAAATCAACATTAAAGCATTAAATGACACATATTATCATGTTATGATGATTTCATAAATACAAAAGTATTACCAAATATACATAGTACAAAATAATTGTTCGAAGAATTATTGTATTCTATTATTATCTTGAAAGAGTCATTTTATTTGAAACAAAATCTCAAACACTAGTACTTGGTCATAACACCTTTTGCAGCTAAGACTGCTTTGATTTTTTTAGGCATACTGTCAACAAGCTTTGTTAATAATAATGGTTCTAAGCTATCCCATGCCTCTTTTACACAATTAAAAAGACAAACTTCATCATTACACATTCTACTTTTTTTTTTTGTTTACAAAGCATCCCCATACGTTAATCTTTGTTTGATGCTTAACTGTGGCTTTTATATATTCATGGTGATACTTTTCATTACTACGCCTCCAAACACAAAATCTTCGGTTGCATCTAAAGCTAAAAGGAGATTCATCTGATCAAACAACTTGTCTCCATTAGGTAATAGTCCAGTCTTTATGCTCACTGCAGCATTGAAGCCTACGTGCAATGTTGATCTTTGATGAAAGAGGTTTTCTGATAGCCCAATGAAAATCTAAATTTTTACACTCCTGTAAACGACGAATTATGGCTTTTACAGAAATACGGCGATTTTTAAGGGCAGCTTGGACAATGCAACTATCTTCTTTTTTAGTAGTTTTTCCCTTTCTTTCTGATCCAGATTGACAGACTGTTTCTCCTGTCTCCTTATACTTCTTTAGAAAGTATAAGGAGACAAGAGGGTCACTCCATGTCAACTCAACCAATGATGTTCACCACACCATCTTAGATCTTCCTGAAATTTTTAGGGCTTGTAGTAGTTCATACACGCAGTGTCGGCTTGATAACCTGTCAGAATTATCCGATGCTAACTTTGAATTGTTGATGTTAAGAACCAAGCCTGAGAGAGAACTGCAATATATGCTTCCACCATAAACAGGTTCTACTTGAAAAATTTGATAAATTGCAGCAGAGTTGTTGTGATCCATTCAATAAACATCAATGCAAAGTCGCAGTCACTGAGGGCAGTCAGTATTGACAAAGCCAAGGAGTTAACACTAACAACTGGGAGACACATCAAACCTGGTGAGAAGCTATGCCCAAGCTGTTGAAAGTACGATAATCCCAGGAACCTGAACAGAGTTATGGACATTTAGCTAGTGATACCAATATAGAAGACGTTGACTTGCATCTTTCTCAACTAAATGACAGTATAACAAGCATTGGCTGCACACCAATTAAGCTTCATGCAATGCCTGTTTGAATTAGAATTTCATATGCCAAACGTAAAATTGCAACTGCAACAACAGAGATCCAGAAGAAAGTAAGCAAAGTCATCCAAGTACCTCTTAATCTAGTTGTAAATGAAGGTGATGGTATAGAATGTGATGGTTGCAATGACTTAACAAAACTAGTGACTGAATTAAAGATTAAGTGCAGTACAGCTTCCAGTCAAGAAAAAATTAAGATGGTAACACTAGCACCATCTAGCTGGAGCCAACAAAAAGTTTTACAGGAATTTGGAGCAACCAGGAACGTCGTTAAGCAAGCAAGAAAACTGAGGAAGTCATGTGGAATTTTTGCATACCCACAGAAAAAACATGGCAAAGTTCTCCAAGATGATGTGATTGAAAGTGTACGTAAATCTTTTGAAAATAATGATATTTCCCGCATGTGTCTGCCGCATGTGAATGAAGCTGATATAGATTTAGATAGCATAATCAATTACAAACGATGGACCCATGATGGTCAGTCAAATCTGAATGTGAGACTGTTGCTGACTTCATTACTTCACTTGGTACTTCCGCTGATAAATCAACGGATCATCATTTCATGGCCAAGGCACAGTCATCCTACTTACGTCATATGAAGGAGTGTTTGCCAGAGCATGTGACCTGGCACACGGTCACACCACCAGTTTGTGGCAGTAAGTGAAAACAAACTGAAGATATTCAGGTTGTCATGTGATGACTTGGGTACAATTGTCGATGTGTCACCAGAACCTGACCTGGCAGTTGAATTGACACCAAGTATAACAGATTTGCATCCAGGACAGTTTGTGGCTGTTGGTTATGACACTGATTGGTTTATTGGTTGCATAAAAGAACATTCTGATGAACATCAAGATATCTTGGTAAAGTTCATGAACAGAACACCTACAAACAGATTAACTTGGCCACATCGTGAAGATATCTGCTGGATACCATTCACTAATGTGCTGTGCAATCTTCCATCACCAATGTTGTCCTGCAGTTCAGCAAGGCAGTATTTCTATGATGATGAGCATTTTGATAATTGCAAGAAACTGTTTGATAATAGAATTGTGTGTAAATAGATAAGATACCAACAGTTAAATGCATTGGCACCATACGCTGGTATCGCTTTACATGATCGCTTGTATTGTTGATAAAAACAGTCTGTAATTTGATTTTGTAACTTAAACAAACTATTTTTTCATAAAATTTAGTTGACAGTTCATTGCTTTGATGATTTACTACAACACACTTTAATGTACAAAAAGTATTTAAAAAAAAAACTTAACGAAGTATGGTTTTAATTAGCAATTGATTTAGAAGGAAAGGCTTAACACACAAAAATTGATGACCGTGATGCATAACAGTGCCTGCAATGAGTACACTATTATTGATTAACATGAATTTTCTATGAAAATAATAAACACTTATAAGGTACTTATTAATGGTATGACAAACATTTCATGTTTTATAGGTTTTTAGCTATATTGGGTCAAATATTGGTGAAAACTGTCTAAAGTGCAAGGTTTGGACATTTTTAGGGGATATTGTATGCAAGCTACATCTGGTATAAAAACACTATTCAACTCAGCATTAAAAAATAAGTAAATCCTGAAAATTTCAGCCTGATATCTATTTTAGTTTTAGAAATATTCACGTTCAAATATTCGAAAATGTAAAAGTCACATGTACTCCTTAAAACTTTCAAAAATCATATCTCGGAAAGTTTTTGACGAAATGGCCTAAAATTTTCAGCAATTGCTTAACTTTGTATGTACTACAAGCCCTGAAAATTTCAGGAAGATCTGAGATGGTGTGGTGAACAATTGTCAAAATGCTGGATGAGTTAATATAAAACTCAGGAGTCCTGTCTCCTTATACTTCTTCCTTAACTAATGTCATTTAAAACCATTTTTATATATTATATATTTATCTAGTCTAAAATGTAATAAATTAGCAAATTTCATCATTAATAAGTACATCTCAGATTTTTTTAATATAAACACAGTTAGGGTAAGGTTAACCCTGTTTATCTACAATTTATATTTTATTACAAAATTTATCAAATAACTTTTAGTTATTTGATTATTTTGTAATAAAATATAAATTGTAGATAGACAGGGTTAACCTTACCCTAACTGTGTATATATTAAAAAAATCTGAAAATAAAGTTTTTTAAGCACAACTATGAGAAATAAGAGCCTAAATAAGAAATTGTTGAAAAAAGAAAAAAAAAGTTAACTTAGACTCAACATGAAACTCTTTTTTAATATAAGAAATGAGATATAAGACTTTTAAATAAACAAGTAATATGCATAAAGTTGAGATATTGATTTAAATATCTGTGAAATGCTTTTAAAACCCATAAAATGTAATTTTGCAAAAAAATTTTGGCCGGTTTTTTTGGCCCATACTATATTTATATATATATATATATATATATATATATATATATATATATATATATATATATATATATATATATATATATATATATACATATATATATATATATATATACATATATATATATATATATATATATATATATATATATATATATATATATATTATATATATATATATATAAATATAAATATATATATATATATATATATATATGTATATATATATATATATATATATATATATATATATATATATATATATATATATATATATATAATGTTAAATTTATTTATACTAACTACTAAAGGTCTAGTTGAGAAAAAGGCTTTCGAAGATACAGATTCGATTATCAAATTTCAGAAGTTTGATGTTTCAGAAAATAATCCGTTCATTCTTGTTATAATAACTTCTCTAATGAAAAGAGTCCACGAGAGGGTATGGTAATTTTTTTTTAAGTGTTTTTTTTAATTGTAATGTATAAATACTCTTCTATGACACTTTACTAACCTAAATAAAGTTTCAATAACAGTAAGTCATAACAAACTACACACTTATTTTACATAAATAAATGAACTTATAAAACTTGAGGCTTAAAATTACTGTTGACAACAACGTGTTCCTTTTTTTGTTTTTTTAACCTGGTGCAAAAGTTGGTTTTTATTTTGATTTTACATTATATTTTTTAATTTTTTTTTCAATAATATTAAAAGTAGTAATAATTTCTTGCTTGAAATTCATTTAAAACATATTTTATATGACTTTAGTTACCAATTCTAAACAGAACTTTTGTAAAATAAAAATCTGGTCAAATAAAAAAGGAGATAAAACAGAAATTGCTGACTTAAAAGGTAAAGTATCTAGAAAGGGGGCGTTAACCTTGGGCAAAATGACAGTATACAGATGAAGTGCACAATTCTGTAACCTTCTTGTACTTTATTCCTTTCTTGTGCTTCATTTTCAATGTCAGATTTAGAATTTGAAATCTAATTTATTAACACTACAACCAAGGCAGCAATTGTATTAATTTTTGTTAACAATGCAAAAAATACAATAAACATATAAATGTGTTATTTACTGCATCTAGGTGGAGAGGCCCTTTTGCAACAATATCCCTAAAAACAGTATTTGGTGAAGGCAGCTGTTGGACAAAATTATTAATGCTAGCCCTAGCTAAAAACTACTACAGAATTAATTGAGTTTTTCATTTACTCATAGACGTCATGCATTAATTTATTTATTTAAAATTAATTTTCCTAATTACTTCAGATAAGAAGTTCTGGTGAGATGGTATTTTTGGATTCTAGTGGTGGGATGGAAGAATATAACCTACGTGTATTTCTTATGGTTACACATTCTTTTTCTGGTGCACTTCCTTTAGGAATTATTGTAACAAGTGACGAAACTACTGATACATTAACTAAAGCATTAGAAATGTTTGTTTCTTTATTACCAGGTAATTCTTTAATTTTTAATATTTTCAATTTCATTTAGTCTAATAGTATTTTACTTAATGCTAACTTTAACAATCTTTAGAAACATATCAGTAGCGTGATGTTAAAATTCTTTAATAGGTTGCTGTGCAATGTAGATTTTTTCTTCGTTTGGTGATAAAAAGAAATCAATAACTTTTATTTTAGATTATGCTTTCCATGGTAAAGGAGTAGTTGGTCCTGATGTAATAATGACAGATAATTGTGACGAGTTAAAAGATGCACTACATGATGTATGGCCAAAGTCTAACTTATTATTATGTGTGTTTCACTTGATGCAACAAGTTTGGAGGTGGCTTTTTGATAAGAATCATGGCATTTTAAATCAGGATAGACCAAGTATACAATAATATTTTATTTCTTTACATGTAAAACTAGTAGCAAAACGTAGCAGTAAAGTAGCCAGTGGTTTATGAAGCATTTTAGAAATTGCGCAGACTACAAATTAGGCATTTTCATGTCTGTATCAAATGAGGATGCTGAGCAAAAAATTGTGTTGATGAAAGTCTGGGAACAAAAAAACCTTATAATGTTTGCCCCATTCATTCAAAAAACATTTAACATTCAAACATTTAAAAGTTGTGACCATGCTAAATTTTTGACCCCTTAACCCCCTACTTCAAAAGGTAAAGTTAGTATAAAGATAAAAAAAAAGATGAAAATTTACCCTAACTTTTTCAAAATGCACTCAAAATTTTTATAAATTTTTTTTTATCAATTTAGGGCTCCGAAGTAGGATTTGAGAGACCGCTTTCCCTCATTAAATGTAATTTAAAGGAAATGGGTTTTTTAATGTGAGATTATAAATATAGGATTAATAATTATAAAGAATATCTGAAAAGTTAGCATAATGCACAATAATTGGAAAAACTCACATAGATTTGCGATTTTGTAGACAGATTTTGAAGATAGATTTCCCATAAGTAAAATTACCATGCATGTTTGCTTGGTTTTTCTAAGGAAGTGGAAACTCAGGAAAGAAAAAATAATAATTTTTTTGAGTTTTGCTAAACTTGCTTAAACATACCAAAAATGGACAACAAAAAGGGTTTGAAAGTCTAAACTATATGACTTTTGAGGCACTTAAGCGACCCCTAAGAGTGGTCCAAATTCAAAATAAAAAAAAATTCTGCTAATAAAATATGGGTCTGGGCAGCAGATAAGACTCCATGGTACTTTAAGATTAAAGTTAAATTATTTTTTTAATATAAAGTTAAAGTTGTAATTAGCTTAACGTAATTAGTAATTTGAATGAGATAAATTTTCTTACACGAATTACATAAATTAATCTCACCTCAAAAGGTTTGTACCACCTTGAAAACCTTTTGCAAAATTGCAAATGAAATGGACTTGATGATAACAATGAAGTCTACTACTCTTCATTTTTAGCTTTATCTTATGACCTCAAAATAAAGCAGTCTAATATAAATAAATATATATATATATACATATATATATATATATATATATAAATATATATATATACATATGTATATATATACATTTATGTATATATTTATATATGTATATATATGTATATATATATATATATATATATATATATATATATATATATATATAAATATATATATATATATATATATATTTATATATAATAACATTATAAACACATATATGTGTGTTTAAAATGTTATTGTCATGTAGGTTTTTTTTTAGGTATTATTAACCAGTTTAAAAAAGTTGTTTATGCTAATTCAGTTAAAGAATGTGAAGATGCTTTCAGTAACATTATTGATTTGTATGGAGAGAAGTATCCAAAATTAAAATTGTACCTGTCAAATGTTTTTGAGATAAAAGAACGATGGTGCATATGCTTTCGAAAAAACATTACAATCAGGGGTAATAATACCAACAATTATGTTGAAGCTCAATTTTGTTTGGAAAAAACATTTATAAAGTACAAATTTTCTTCCATATCTAAGCTGTAAAGAGAGACAGCTGTGTTCATACATTGCTATTGGAGCAATTCTACCCGACTCTCTTTACGAAGGATTACATGATTATGTTAGAGACAAGCATGATGAGTTTATCTATCTTCGAGTTGTGAAGATATTAATAATTATGAGGAAACCGATTTTAAAATTGATCGTTCTGAAAGTGTAAATAATCAAGGTAAAAATAGTCCACACTTATTTCAATCTAACGATTTATAATGTTTGCCGCTTTTGATCTTTTTCTTTTAAATATATTCACAAACTTTTGTTGAAATTAATTAAGGGAGGCTGTTTTATAGGCATAAGTGCGTGTACTGTTCAAACCTCTAATACTGAAAATATTCAGCAAGAGTTGGCGGAGGCGTTTAAGATAATGAGCATCTTAGTGGATAAACATTATAATAATGCTGATTTTTTGAAAGGAGTTTTAAAATTTTGTACTCGCTTGAAAATGAATGAAAACAGAATTTCTAATTTAACTTCATCATTGCATTGTTTTGGTATTGATTCTTATCAGTCTAAACGCATAACCAATACTACTCTTCGTAAAAAAAGAAATGGAGTAAAAATAAAAGTTCAACCTGAGGCAGTTTAACGGCGTAAAGTTAAAAATGGGAGCAAGACGTTTGTTCAAAAAGGAATGGCAAAGCGCAATAACCCTTTTAATGTATCTGACGTCAGTACTAAAAGAGCGCATTCTTTTTCCCAGTGCGTTAAAGACAATGTCACTGATTCTAAAAAAGCTGGTAGAACGATGGGATCAAAAACAAAGTTATAATCTTCAACAATGCCAACTAAAAGTGAAGAGTGATTCAGCCATTTAGTCAAATTAACTTGATTTTTTTCAGTAAAATTGCAATCACTATGTGTTTGGGGAGAGTGTGTACCCTTGATCCTGAAATCCAGGGAGCTTTAAGTTAATAACAAACCGCGAAAATAATAATAATTGGAGAACTATTATTGAATATAAAAACATATAGACTTTATTAAAGTTTATTAGAACCATAAATAAAGATAACTCTATATTAGTTTTATAATTTAGAGTTTAATTTTTTATTTTGTTTAATTTTTTGCCCCTGGATTTTAGGATCAAGGGTGCATACTTTCAACGGGGTTGGATGTACAAAATTACAATTGAAAAAATAACTTGTTTAAATTTTATGCAATTTTTTGTGTCTTGACATGTTTCCTTTTGTCGAAAAATGTTTCTTACAATCACTGCATTCAAATTTAAGATTGTCATGTAATGATGCCTTATGTCTTTTAAGAGCTTGCTGTCCAGAAAAAATCTTTAGGCACACATCGCAACAAACTGATCCTGTGTGTTTTAGATAATGCTTTTTAAGCTGAATTTTATTGACAAAAACTTTATCACATTTGTCGCATTTGCTTTCAACGCAATTCTTAATATGATAGCGGTATTCACTTCCTTTCTTAAATGACCTTGTGCAAGATGGACAAGCAAGCACTTCAACTAATCCACAATCTTCTTCTTCTCGCATCAATTGACCTTTTTTATTCCACTCCTTAAATAAAAAAATATAATAACAAACTGCGTTTAAATATAATAAATTGCAAATATTTAAAATAATTGAAATTAGACTTTTACTTTTCTTTCTGAATCATCTAATGCTTTCCATCTTTCTGAACCATTCTTGCTCATTTCAGGGAAATCCGGTAATTTGCTTTTATTATTTTCGGCTTCTGTCATTGCATTTCTCTAAGCATATATATATATATATATATATATATATATATATATATATATATATATATATATATATATATAAATATATAGATATATATATATCTGTGTGTGTTTGTGGTCAAAACTTATTAAAATTTAATGTTTTTTTGTTAGATGAAAGTAAAAATGTAAAGTAAAAATGCATACCACATTTTCTTTATAAAAACAAATGAAACCCATTGATCTTACAACTTTTTTTCTTTATGCGATCTATATTTAAAAGGAATAGCAAACAAAATCTTGAAAAAAAAGTCCTAAAATCGATTGAAAGAAAAGTAACTGAGGAAATGACGTTTTAAGCTGTTAAAAAAATATACAATTTTAAATCCTAACCTCTTATCTCAAAGCTTGAGTTATTTGGTATAAAGTTTTCAGCTACATTTTTATCATTTATTTCAGCCATGATTTTTTAATTCTTTTTTTTTTTTTTTATTTTAATTAAAACTAAAAACAAAATTAGCCGCTATTTATTTGCTTAAGACATATATATAAAAATGTTTACTTTATAACATTCATATATAAAAACGAATTTTAGTAACAATTATCTTCGTCTTGTTTCAGTGAAGTAAGGTGGATTAATAGCGTCCGGAGCAAAAAAAAAAGCGTATTGCTTTATTCTTTTTGCACCCTCTTCATTTTTTGCACCGGTGAAAAACGACTTTTGGACACCATGCAACGCCACTGCATTATTTATGTAGGTGTTGAAAAAATAAGGTAAATTTTTTTTTTCCCGTTTTTCTTCAGGAAGACAAAAGAGAAAAATAAAAATAAAACCGCGATTATATTTTGCTCGGAATGCATTAAAAGTTCTAATGCGCATGATCACGTGATTATTTTTGAAAAACTGTCATGCCTTTAGTCCTCATTCTTCCTTACGTAAACAGATTTTTTTTAAATGCTACAGTGCAAAATGATTTATATTTGAATAAATCAATTATTTGTTTTTACAATATAACTGTATTCAATATACAACTATTCACTATATACATAGCGAGGAACAATTACAAAGAATTATTTAACCAATCGAGTGAAGTCTTTGTTGTAGAAAATTTATTTAAATAAAAGCAATAGGCAAACAAAAATAAGCAAAATGTAAAAAAATGTTATAATAATAACAAAAACAAGGTTAATTGATAATACATTGTTAATAATAGAAATTAAGAATAATGATATAGTAACATAACAGTTAATAAGAATACAAAAAATCGAAATGATATCATTAATTTAAAGAAATAAAATTGTCATGATTATTAACAGAAGCCATAATAGCTATATTAATAATAGAAATAATAGTAGTAACAGCAATAAAAAGAACAATAACTGTAATAATAGTAATACTAAAAGTAATATTAATAGCAATAGGTATAATAGAGAAATCATAAAAGTTGTATAGTTATAATATAAATAAAGTTATAATAGTAATTACAATAGAAACAGTAGAATAATATTGTAATATTCTTCAACTGCATTACATTCACTGCTATTATTCAAAGATAAATGGGAGAGTAGGAAGTTGAAGTTAAATTTATTTTAGAGCAGTCATTTATTTCATTAATTTATGAATTTACCTATTAGTTTTTTTTTTTTTAACTGGCGATATATTGTAAATTAATGTTATTATTATACAAAAAAATATAAATAGCAAAAACTATAAAAAAAGCAATACATTAATTTTTTCATTCCCATGAGAGGAAATGCTTTAAAAAAAAATTATCTACAAAATATATCATAATATATTTTTATAAAAATTTCTGATTGTTGGGCAAAGCTTGATCTTAAATATCTACTCATATATATTACACAAATTTCAAATTAAATAGTTAATACACACATACATACATACACATACATATATATATATACATATATGTGTGTGTGTGTGTGTGTGTATTGGGTATAAAAACCATTGGGTTTTTAATATAGTTGATGACAAAGGTATCAATATTCCCTAGAAATATTGTAAAAGTAAATATATTTTTAACAAATATGAATAAAAAGAGGTTTTATTTCAAAATTCTATACAATTAAATTCTATTGAAGATGCCAACATTTAAAACATGTATGTATGTATGTTTGTATGTATTTATGTATGAATGTATATATGTATGTATTAATATATATGTATTTGGTATTAAATGTTTTTAAGTCTTTGAAACATTTATCTGTATTCTTAGATAAAGAAAACTGAATTTTCTTCATTTGAATAACAATTAAATGTTAGTTGCTTTTTCTTCTTAGTGTTCTTTCTTTAAATTTTCTCATCTCGATTAAAAATTATTTGTTATTGACAGCATTTTCTTTATTCTTCTCTTGAATGTTATAAATTTTTGGGACAAAGTTATAAATAAACTTCAGAGCTCTAGAATTGTTCATATCTTTGATACTCAACCGGTTTAATTTGTAGATCATTTAGGTTTGCCTCAAAAGATCTTAGTTACCAATTCTTATAAGAGCAGTGATTAACTTGTATAACGTTTTGTTTAACCACCTTGTTGAATTTTTTTTTTATTTGAATTAATCAGTCTTGTTTGATGCTTTTTTTTATATTAACAGAATGTGTGTATTTACTTTTATTTAAGTTTTAAAAGACTTTTTTAACTTTGAAAGACATTTCATATTGCAACTGTTTCAAAGCTAAAACCATACAGCTTTCCTATATTTGGTAAATAAAAAGGTCTTCAATCATTTAAAAAATTTACTGTTCCACGCAGCTTTTATTTGCCTCGTGCACTTGAAGCGAAAATGTTTTCATTTAAAGCTACGGTAACCGAATTTTAATCTCTACTTAATGCGATACTGCCCAAGGTTAAAAAAGATACTGCCAATGGATAATGATACTGCCAATGGTGTACGAAAAAATAATTGGCGTCGTCTTCCTCTTCGAACTAAAACAAACTTTTTTCCAGGATCATCTGAAAGGTTTGTCTCATCGAAGTTAAATATGTTTGAAGGTTGAATACGACCAAGAGATTCGTAAGTTCTTTCAAATTCATCAAAAAAAATTATTGATCATTTCTATTCCTAACTTTGATCTCGATCGTTTAATATTTGAAGCATTTCTCCCAGAAATATTGTTTCGTTTCATAAAAGAATTTAACCAGTCATTTCCAGGTATCTGCAAATTGAAACTGTTTGACCCATTGCGATTTTTGAGGAAATCAAAAGCCGTCATTCTGACTTCTAATCTTCCAATAGGAAAGCCCCAATCGGCAACAGCTTCTAGCATTTGAGCAATGAGTACCTCATCTGCTTTGCTTATAATTGTCTGGCCTCCAACCTTCTTTAAGGTGGGTTTTCTAATGTGATCATGCAATGTTGATTTTTTGACTTTATGCTTATCAGCAGCTTTTCGAATACTCATGCCTTTACTGTGATCTTCTATAGCTTTTTTTATATCTTCTTTAGAGCTTGTTCCATACAACACTTTTAAGTTTAGTTTACGTTTGTAGTTTTGCGCCATCACTAAAAGAAACTGAAGTAGAATAATAAGTAATGCTCTGTCCGGAGTCACCCCGCTGTCCGAAGTCACCCCGGTTGACGGTATTTACCGTCACTGTAAAATATAGGTTTCATCGATTTACCGCCACTTTAGCAAATCTTAAAGGTTATTGCGGCGGTGTTTACCGCCACTTTAGCAAGATATCAATTTAAGTTGGCGGTATTTTTTGTCATGAATTTTACCGCCACTCTAGCAAATTTTGAAGATTAGCGCGGCGGTATTTAGCGCCACTTTAGCAACACGCTATAAATATATATATATATATATAAATATATAAATATATATATATTTATATATATATATACATATATATATATATATATATATATATATATATATATATATATAT